GTGGATCTCTGCATCCCTGTGGATCCCATGGGCTGTGGGGGGATCTGTGCATCCCCTGTGGATCTTTGCATCCCCTGTGGATCCCCATGGGTTGTGAGTGGATCTCTGCATCCCCTGTGGATCCCCATGGGCTGTGGGGGGGATCTCTGCATCCCCTGTGGATCCCCAGGGGCTGCAGGGGCACAGCTCTTTCACCATGGTCCTCACCATGGCCTGCAGAGGAATCTCAGCTCTGGCACCTGGAGCACCTCCTCCCCCTCCTTCTCCACTGACCCTGGTGTCTCCATCTCACCTCCTCCTCTTCTCGGACTAGAAGAGAAAACTGTGTGCCTTTGCTTTGACTTTCTTTTTAAATCTGTTATCACAGAGGTGTTACCAACCTCTCTCATTGGCCCAGCTTTGGCCAGCAGCCAAATGTCCATCCTCAGAGCCATCAGGCATTGACTCTGACAGACATGGTGGAAGTTTCCAGCAGCTTCTCACAGAAGCCACCTCTGTGGCCACCCCCCTCCACTACCAAAACCAGGCTGTGCAAAACCAAGACACATACAGTAACCTGTGTATTGGTATTTACCTGGGCTAGCACAGTCAGAGTTGATTAAGCAATGTGTTCTCTCCTCTTTAGCAGATATTTTTAAATGTCTTAGTCCATCTTACACAGCAGGTAAAATTACATTTAGGGGAATATTTTCTGAGTTTCTACTTACAAAGCCTTGCTGAAAGTGAACGTGGATGAGGTTTGGGGTTGAGTCCATGAGATTTGTGCAGTATGGTTACTGATGTTGTCTGAACTCTCAGCAATGAAGACATGCTACGCTTGAACTTTAAACTTGCTACAGAGACAGCAATATATTTGTTTTTTTAGAATACTTTACTTCTAGGATTTTAACTTTATGTTAAAAGTATTTTGCTTTTATGCCAGTTGAAGGTAGTTTTAAACGGAACTAAAATGCACATGCAAACTGAAGTTGTGTCATCTCACTTGAATGAGAGTGCTTTTGTGCAGAAACTGATTTACAGCTTCATTTGTTTAATTCATCATTAACTATTCATTTAAAGAGTCTGAAATTCAAATTGGAGGGCGCCAAACTTTTACCTCTGTCTTGTAAAAGGAAAACACAACCAACTTTTTGACAGCAAAGATGGCTTTCCAGTGAGTCTGCTTTTGGCTTGAAGTGAGCTAATAGACTGTATGAATCTGCAAAGAAGTGGCATTTAAAACTGGGCATGGCTATTCAGCAAACACTTACTTAGGAGCTTTCCCCAGTCTAAACTGCTGGGACTTGTAACAGCACCACTCATTCTATTAGAAATAAAAGCAAGTTTAATGTAATTTTGTCTAAAAACTGTACTAACTGCTATTTTACTCAGGTCTTTTTGAGTCAGGTGGGATTTTTAAGAGACTTGTTAACATTTACCCTTGCTTAAACATGATTATGATGATTATGTAGCACAATACATAATATATGTATAATATATGTGGATATAGTCTAGTGTCTCCTCTTAAGATTATGTACTTCAAAAGGGAGCACTTTTTATCTCAGGGTGCACGTCATCTCATTTGTTCAGGTGATCATGAAGTTCTCAAAGTCACTACTTTATTCTTGTGGACTGAATTCTACTTTCTGTCACAGATGTCGGCTCTCTAATGCAGAAATGAATGAGGGAGGGCTAATGCAGGTGGCTAGGAGTGTCTCCAGTGTGGTTCTGACCATACTGAACATTTTGCTTGCCTTCCTGCTTGATACAGTGTATCTGCCTGGAAGGTTGAGCTGGTACAGCTTTTGAAATTATTTTTTACCGTCATGATTTCTGATGCCATCTAATAGCCGTGGATTGCTGTGTAGTGCCAGCCTCATTCTTACTCTGATGTCTAGTAACTCCCTTTTTTTCTTTTAAGCTTCTCCTCTAGTCAACATTAACCTGCTTGTATTGGACACCTATTTTGCAATTATGGTTTTCAGTCTGTGCTCCAGTTTTATCTCTGGTTGTGTGGGCTTCTGCCTGGGCTGTACACAGGCAGTGGCTGGTGCAGTTGTTTCTCTGGGTGCTGTGCTGTCTCCTGAGAACACCTCTGGTAACTGTACATTTTACAGGCTGTGGGGGAGCTTTTGTTAGGTATTTAGCATGAAGGATTTTTGTGTGGGTTTGCAATTTAACAAGCCTCTTCCTTGTAATACCATTTGTTTGGCAGTTTAAGTTACTTCTATTGATGCATTAATCACACTCAACACCATTTCATTTCAGCTGTTGTTGATATTCGGTATCTAGAGATGATACTGATATCTCTTAGGATAGAATTATCATTATTAGTAGCTTGTCTTAGGCAAGTTTTCTATCAGAACCTCATCCTTGATTCCTTCAAAATGTGTTTTTGCACAACTGTACGAATACGTGCTGTTAAAAGCAAGACCACTGGGAAGCTGATTGCCTGTTTCTGCATTTTTCTGTCTGCAGAGAGCTGCATTCAGACTGTAACTTCTGTCATAACCATGGTTAGACTAGACAGTGTGGTATCTTGCTAAAAACGCACTTTTCTCAGCCTCATGTGTGTAACTGCCTGCTGTGGATTGTCCTTTGGTGGAGGTTGGGGTCTGAATGCTTACAGTTGGGCAGAGATTTTTGGCATCATGCTTTACAAGTTCTTCATTTCTTCAGGGTTATGTCTGCTATTAGAGGATCTTCATTGGTTCTGTTGATAAGAACAAATAAGCTGTTGCAGTACCTGGAGATAATCAGAATTACTACCAGAAATGTCAACATTTCGTTTTAACTCACTCATTACTGTCACTTTAGGTCAGAGGTCCAGCTTAAAGTACTGGTATGAAAAGGAGTGGTTAAGTAATGGCCACATGCATGGCTTAGCATTTTTGGAAGAAAATTATTCCCACCAGAATGCCAAGAAGATAGTGGCCACTCACCAGCTGCTTGGTGATGTACAGCGAGTGATCGAAGTCCTGCACGGGCTGCAGCTGAAGATGAGCATATTACAGTAAGCAGTATTTAAGAACCAGCTGGCATGTTTCTCCTCGGGAATTAGACTACAAGTATAAAAACAACCAGAAATTCAGGCTTGCATTTGTGCTCCCTGGATTTATAACATAGTTTGAATTGCTAATGTGATCTTGGGAAAGGACTTGGCTGCTTGAAAACTGTTTAAGTGGGTTGACTGTAAACGGACAATGTATATAGAAAGGGTTAAACGAATAAAACTACTAATGATAGCTTTTCCTTAATCACCCAAATTGATTTTAAGTAAGAACAGGATAGACTTATAACCCATGGCACCATTCTTGCAGCACTTACTTTCTCCATTCCAGAAAATCTGGCCATAGCTTGTCCGAGAGGAATCAGATCTTTTTGTTTGGTACAGTATGTTGTTCTGCCGCAGTGGGAGAGTGGTTGCACCCTCAGCAACCTGCAGCACTTCATTTCTGAACAAAGGTCATTTCAGCTATATGTACAGAAAATAACACAATTATTTATATAAAAGGGTTTTATCTATCAAGTCAACTTTTCTGTGTATTTTCCTATTTAAAGTCGTCTTTGGGTTCTGATGACTGAAAAAAACATGTTTAACTCAAATCCAGCAGCTTTAAATTTATTGAATTCCATAATTGTAATTTATTAGTTGATAAATTGCACAGCAGCAGCTATTTGGAAAAAAAAAAGTGATTTTGGCATTCTTTAGACCCTTTCCCCTAATCTGTGGTGTGATGCAGGAGGTCCACTGACATGGAATAATGCTAGAGAGCAAGAGAATAGCCATTTTAACATAGGGTTTTACTTTTCCATTATGGGATCCTTTAGTTAGATCTGTAAGTAATCTCTTTCATTTTTGGAGACTGAAACATAAACATTGTAAGGCCACTTCTTGGGCCTCTTGTTTAAGAGTGACACTTGAGTTTCAGGCTTTCCAGTTGTGAATTGAGATTTACATAGTACTGAGGTAGGAGCACTGGCCATGTATGTGATGGTTGCTACAGGTTTTGCTCCTTTTCTCTCCCGTGCTGAAGTCAGTGTCATGGCCTGGCTTAATTAAAGGTGAGGCGCAGTCCTGTTTAGATCATCTGATTAAAAGTTTCAGCTACTGTTTTCTTTATCATGGTATCAATCAGAAGGAATTTGAAAAATTGCTGAATTAGAATATTGTTGATGCAGATCAACAGAGAGAAGATAATTTCACAAGTGCCTGAAATGATTTAGGAGAGTGTTGCTCAGTGTTTCAAGGAGGTGGCAAAGGACCCAAGGTGACCCTGGCAGTGCCATGGGAGGGTGAACCTTCAGCAGGCAGGAGCTAAAAGGTTATTCAAGTATTAGCATTTTAATTTTGACCCTTAGGTAACTGGTGCATAATTTTTCAGAAAAATTTTCTGGCTTTTGTAAAATTATCCCTTTCTCTGTTCTGAGCAAAATATAGTTTCTTTAGATGTAGCAGATGAGTGGAGCTCGAGCAGAAAGCTTTGGTAAATGAACACCTGGCTTTCACTTTTTCAGGCATGCCTTCAGGATGGTTCGCCAGGGAGATATATCCTCACTATGCCAGCACTGGAGGCAAAGGTCCTCCTATGAAATAGAAGTCTGAGCATATCCTTGGCAGCTGTACTCACTCTGGTTTCCTCTGGGAGACATTGAAGAAACCTGAGCTGCTGCAGGATGGGTTAGAAAGCAGTTACTGCTGAAGTCAAGTGGTCATGTTTTGTAGAGTGGTTTGGTGAACAGCTGGAATAGCTGGATCAGCTGAATGGAACCAAGTCCATCCACCTTTGCAAGGAAGCAGAGAGAGAGGGGTGCTTGAGGGCAGCCTCCCCTCTCTGTTCAGCCCAGTGCAGGTGCTTTAGAGTCAGGATTTGCTCTGCTGTGTTCCTGCAGCCTGTAGCAGATGAGCTGCCAGCCCTTTGAAGATAGCAGAGTATTCTGCTTTGCTCTCCTTTTACTGCTGTTCTGATGCCTGATACAAGGAAGAGCATGGGTTACAACGCTCACTCTGAATCTTTTGTTTGTTATATTTGTAATAATCTGATATCTGTAGTAGCCCCTTCTGCTGGAATAAATAATCTATTAGTCAATTTGAAGACAATTTAAAAAATAATTTCTCTAAGAGCAGATGAAGGGACCTTTGGGGTCTATGAAACACCACTATAATGTAGGTGTACTATACCTTACTAAAAATATCCCAATTAAAATTAACTTTGCTATTAGTAAATTGCAAATATTGAAGCAAAATGTTCTGTGAAGGACCAGCGTTAGTGAGAAGTTGTATGTGTCTATTTATAACTTATTCTTCAAGTTTTTTCTTAATTCAAACACTTGGCCTTTTTTGGCTTCATTTATTCTTACTTAATTTCTTTACATAAGAGGAGGGTTTGCTTAGTCACTTTGGCATTTAAATTGGGTGGTTTATTTTTTATGTTGAACAGAAATAAAGAACATCCTGACTTAAAGCTTTGGTGTCATCCGTGGAAGCACATCACAGTGGACGAAAAAATCCATACGAAACATATCATTCACTTTGAGGAAAACTGTTGCAAAGAGGAGACAGCAAGTTACAGAACTTGGAATGGGACAGTTGAGAAACCCTCAACAATTCCTTCTGTGGAGGAATCTTACATTACAAGTGAACACTGTTACCAGAAACCTCGGGCCTACTACCCTGCCATAGAGCAGAGGCTGGTTGTGGAAACAAGAGGTTCAGCCATGGATGATGGAGTAAACAGAATAAGGGAAAATGGGGATGATACCCTCTCAGAGAGGTTTAGCTGGAATCTGGACCAAGAAATATGCAAGATGGAAAATGAATCCAAACACAATTACTCCAAGGTATTTTTATTAAAATAGCCCTCTCTGGCAAAGAGCATGTGTTTGCCTGGCAACCTGCAAACTTCAGCCTTTTGTAATACTTTTTGTTTCGTTTGTGTGGGGTTTTTTGTTTTGGTTTTTGGGGTTTTTTTTGTTAGACTGTTAAATTTAAGTTGCTGGAAGCAATTAAAATGATAAATGCGATCAACTCCTTCATTTAACGTTGTAATTAAAAAATCTAGGTTGACTTCTGGACCTCAAATCGTTTGAAAAGTGTGAACCACTGGTAGTTCATTGCTGCTTATTTTTGTGTATTAAATGAAAAATAAACACTAGCAAAGAGGACAGGCCAAGCATGTATGATACTACCAAATACACTGGTAGGCCAGCTTCTAATTATTCCCATCTTGTTTCCATGTTCCTTCTAAGAGTTAAATTAATTTTAGATTCTTCAGGCAGCATTTCAAGATGGAAAAAAAAAAAATGTCAGCCTGAAGCGATTTTTTAAGACTGATCACCATGGACTGATCACCAGTGGTGTGTCTTCCTACTGGAGCACTTCAGGGTTAGCTTTTCAGTGCTTGTTAGCTCTGTCAGCCTTCTGTTCCCTAGTACAAAAATTTTGCTTCTATTAGTTAGTACCAATTCCTATGAAATGTGGGGTGAGAAATGTTGAAAACCCTCTAGGAAATTAGTGAAGTCCTTCTGCTCTGGAGCCAGGCTGGGAGAGCTGGGGATGCTCACCTGGAGGAGAGAAGGCTCCAGGGAGAGCTCAGAGCCCCTTCCAGGGCTGAAAGGGGCTCCAGGAGAGCTGGAGAGGGACTGGGGACAAGGCATGGAGGGACAGGACAAGGGGGAATGGCCTTAAAATGAAAGAGTCTAAATCTTAGATGGGATATTGGGAGGGAATTGTTCTCGGTGAGAGTGCGGAGGCCCTGGCACAGGGTGCCCAGAGAAGCTGTGACTGCCCCTGGATCCCTGGGAGTGTCCAAGGCCAGGCTGGATGGGGCTTGGAACAACCTGGGATAGTGGAAGGTGACCAAGGCAGGTGTTGGAACTAGATGACCTTTAAAGGTCTCTTCCAACCCAAACTATTACACATTTTTATGATTCCATGAAATACTGAGCTCCCTTTTTTTAGATTAAAGCTTAAGATAGCTCTTATTTCATCCATATATGTCTTGACTCTGTCAGTCTTCTGAGATTGTGTTATGTTTCCTGGAAAGACAAATACTTCAGTTCTTCAGTCTAAAAGAGCCATTTTCTAAAGGCTCATAATTCAGCAGAAGGATGAGAAAAGTAGGGGAGCAGAATGACCACTGACGTTGTAGTCAAGTTTTGTAAAGAGTGATAATGCATGTTTGGAGATGGTTCAATGAAAGTTTTAGTGGAATTTAGATTCGATTCTTTAAAGAAAAATCCCTTTTCACTCCTGAATTGTTTGCTCTTTAGTTGTTTATTGTCAGGTGAAAAACAGCTTCAGCATTCCCTGCGATGCACAGATTCGGTGCAGGATCTTCCAGATGAAAAGTGTAGCAAACTGCACATTTGTTACCTTCAGAAAAGGAGATGCTTGTGATGTACAAATAGTTTTTAGCAAAATACCTATAAAAATATGTTTATATTTAGATCTTCTTGCCCAAGGTAGTTTAGTCTGTGTATATGGTCTGGGTCTCTCTCACTCACTGGCAGTTAGGGGGGTCTGGGAGGACTCAGGCAGTTCAGCTCCCCAGTTCTGTTTCACTGTAACAAATACTTAATGTATGTATTTCTGCTAGGTGAGAGAGTCTGTCTCTAAGAAAGTCTCTCCAGAGGAAGCTATTGAAATGAAATTGCTGGAAAAAGACAAAGAAGGAGTTGTGAACTCGCAGCTGCAGTGGCAGCTCAATCTTTTAGCTCACGTGGAATCTCTGCAAGATGAAGTCATACATAGAATGGATTTCATTGAGAAGGAGCTAGATGGTAAGTAGTGTTATTCTAGTTGAAAAAATAGCCTTTTTTAACTGAAGTACCTGTTCAAAACATGGTAACCAGAATTTTACTTCTTCAGACCTACAAAGACATGAATGTTTCATCATCACATTTCCTAATAGAAAATAGACATGCTGCTGATGTGGGGGTGGATTTTAAAACAAAGAGCAGAATCTCACAGAACAAATTCTAGTTAGAGCATCTCTAAATAGTTGCATCAGATGTTGTACTGGAACATCTTTATGTCGTTTTGGGTTTAGGTTTTTGTCATTTTCCAAAACTATTCTGTGTGTCTGCATTTCTCTGTTCTTCAGGGCCTTGCTGGCTATGTTAGCCCATTCTGGGTGGCTTCTTCAGTGCACAGGGCTCTTATCCTTCCTCGTGTCTTCCAAATTCTTCACTTAAATGTCTTTTAAGAATTTCATAGTAATGGAAAACTTATAAACTCTTCGTGTTGCATTAAATTATTCAGGATAGTTCTTTATATTGTTAAGTCTGATCATTGGTTGTGTAGTGGTTACAACAGCAGCTTTACTTGCAGGGGAATCCAACTTCTGCCGAAATAAGAGCCCTCTCTTTGTAAGTGAGGTACTGAAAAGTTGGACAACTAAAGGGCTATTTCAGGTAGTGGAGATCAGTCAGGGCTGTTCTGCCTAAAGAAGCTCTGGTTCCCAAAAGTTGGACTTTTTGTACCTGCTAATGAGCAGAGGTCTGTGCAGTGTGTTGCTGCATTGAGCAGAACTTACTTACTCCAAGGCAGGATGTATCAGTAGTGAGTGAATGCTGCTGGTTCTGCAGCAGGTGCTGCCCATGGGTAAAATTCACCTGTTGCTCTGGTTGCTGGCAGTGGCTGCTCGTGGTAAAGGTATTTGTTCTGTGTTCAAGGTTTCAGTCTCCATCTGCAATACTGTCAACATCCCCAGAACTCATCACAGTCCAACCTGACCACCTTCCTTGTGGGTGTGTTACATTGTCACTTGGCTTGTCTTCTGCTCAGTGGGATTTCTTGTTTCCCACTGAGAAGCTTTTTGAAGCAGGAGTTAATTTTTCTTATGCAGCACTCTGGTGGTTTGTGCTTTTGATCTTCATCCCCATTTTCTGTCACCCAGTTCTGTCACAGTCAGTTGTGTTCTGTATTGATGACAGATTTCTTTCATTATGAGAGTCCCATCCTTGATAGCATAAACTCCGTGTACCACAGTGTCCTTGTCCTGGAATTGACACAGATCAGAGGAAATTTAGCATGAGACTTCACAGTGTCTGGTCTAGAGTTTTCCTTTCCTGCTTTTTCCTAGGAGCAGTGGCTTCTCCCCACATCCCTATGTGAATTACTTGGCTGTGTATCAAAAGTTACTTGCCAAGATTGGTGTTCGGTGTTCGGTTTTATGATTTCTCAAATAACAGTGTTAAAAATATTGCCCACTGCTTTCTCAAGATTTACAAAAGATTTAAAGAATTCTTGTTTTGTGACTTCAGATGAGCTGTTTGCCAAGCACTGCAGTAGTGACAGCTTTTGTTTTCTTTTCAGTTCTGGAGAGTTGGCTGGATTACACAGGAGAGCTGCAACCCCCAGAACCACTGGCTCGACTCCCCCAGCTCAAACACTGCATAAAGCAGCTGATAACAGACTTGGGCAAGGTGCAGCAGATTGCTCTGTGCTGCTCCACGTGAGGCTGGACCCCCTGGCCGTGAGTGCCTGCAAAGCTGGAGTGTCTGATGGGAGCAGCTCTGAATCTGTAAAAGAAACGCATGCTGGTTGCATGGGATGCAAATTGACTTCAGAGACTTGTGAAGAAATGTTGTTCAAAGAGCAAAAAGGTTATTTCAGGTCTATTAGATGATTATAATGCTGTGGAAAAGGTCATACTCTTGTCTCCAGAGGTTGCCTGTGGGTTGATAAGTTACACTCAAATTTTCACTCCTTACAAGTTGCTCATCAAAACAGTAGACTTTTTCATCGTTAAATTGACTAAAAATTGTGCCATTGAAGAACAGAGTTCTAAGAGCCAAAAAAAGTTTGGTTGACAGGGGTTGTAAATAACTTTGCATAGTTTAAGTGACTCATGTCATGTTTTATTTCTTCTGGTTTATGCATACTAGCACTCAGTATTTAATCATTAGGAGATGTTATAACAGTTTCAGACTTAGTAAGTATGAATGTCCAGCTCTTGACTATAAAAGTGTTATGTGGCGGATTTCAAGTAACAGTGGCCTGACCTACACTTCTGTTACAGTAAATAATGTTGCAGGAGGTTACAGGTGGATTGCACTTATTTTCAGAATAAATGATTGTTTTCCATATTTATCGTGTCACTGTCACATGACTTGGTACTGAGGAAGCCCATGAACGTGGTGTTTGTGTGCATTCTTGAGCTCTTCCATCCGGCCCTCCTGTGCCTCCTGCAGCAGTTGCTGTGGGATCCCTCGTTGCAGGAGTATGGAAGAGGACTGGGAAAGGACTGGAGCCATGCTCTGAGTTCAGGCTGCAGCGTGGTCTGTCATGGACGCGATGTATTTTCTACCATTTGTTAATAATTGCCATTCCGGTTATATTTGGAAATGTAGATTTTTTTTTTTTTTCCAATACTATGGATGTGTTCACTGTAAAGACTTGCTATGAATGTGTGGTTTTGGGAATCAGTTTTTGTGTAAATAAAGCCTCAAGATTTATGCATGAGGTGCTGTCCTTGCAGACAGTGAGTGGGTTATTATCTTAAATGGTCTGTGTTCACGAAGTCCCTTTTCATACCTTAAGTTTTAATTTTTGGTTTGTATTTACTTTGTCACTGTAAGGTAACAAGGCTGCTGATGTTCAGTCATGTTATACAGAACCTTTGGAACGTTGTGAGCGTCTGAGAGGTTCTTTCAGCTGCAGATTACCACTCCTGCAACTTTAGTTTTCCTTCATAGACATTGCTGAGTTCAGTTCCCTGTGGAACATAGTGAGCTGGTTTTGCAGTGAGAGGGTGTCCTTAAAAAGCTGGATTTGTTACCCTTATTTTATTGTGTGCAGTAGTACTACCAAAGGGTAACATTCAAATAGAGTTTTAATGGAAAAGCCCACACCTGTTCAAATTATTAATTTGGAATATATATCTGTAATGTGTTTATTCTGCAAAGAATAATGAAAACTTGAAATATCCAATATTATTGTAGGAGTTACACTTTCTACCTGGTGAATATTTTATTTCCTTCAGAAAACAAAAGAATTAGGCTGCTCTAGGTAGTAACTAAGACTTTTATGCCAAGATTCAGTTCAGGGAATAATTTGTCTCACAGGTTTATAGTACTAAGTTGGTATACAATGAATATAGTGCACATACAGCAGAAAAACAAACCTGCTTTTCTGTAATACGGTTGGAAGAAAGCTTACATGCATTTTAAGGATCACTTGGCTCTCTAAAGCCAGTGCTCATACCTTGGCTTATTCCTGTCAGGTACCTGAGCTTGTGTAGCTCTAGAGGAGGAGGTGGTGACCAGACAGCCAGAACAGCCATCAGAGGAGCCTCCCAGGCAGCTGGTGATGTTCAGGTGCAATGGACCAGAAAAGGTGTTCCCTGGTTACAGCTGTAAAGCAGGATACACTTGGTTGTGCTCCCATTTGAGGGCAGTCAGGCACTCAGTTCCTGAGCAGGCTTCTTGCTCCAAAGGGGGGTTTCTTCTCAAGCAATGGCTTTTTGTGTGTTCGTTGTGTGTTTTCACTTGTCAGTTTATTTTTGCTCAGGGCAGTACTGGAGGTCTGGAAGAAAAGGCAGTTCCCATGGGTAGATCAAGTTGCAGATCCTGGAGACTTGCATCCCTTCAGTAGTGCTGGGGAAGCCCTTGCAGATAAAGACTGAAAATATTTATTTAAAATAGAGTAGTACTTCTCGCATTCAGGGAAGATTCTTCATTGTGCTCTGCCTGGATTCATTTCTGTCCCTTTTTTGCAAGTTTCCTCATTGTTATTTTTAGTCTGGACTAACTGTTCAGACTGACAGGTCACTTTTTTGTTTCTTTAAATCACTGGTAAGTGAATGCAAAGTGGAGCCTTGGTGAACTGAGCAAACATTGCACTGTGGGTACACACGTGTTTGTTGATGCACTATTAGAACCAAGGGTCTGTACATAGAATTTTGTTTTGGAGCAATATTTGCAAAACTTGAAAACTGTATCTTGGTGTTTGGAATAAATAAAAAATAGGTTTTTGTTGGTTAAGTCTTAGTAAAGTCTTTGTTTCAATTAATGATAACTCAATAAAATAATTCTGGAAGCTTTTCCTTCACATTGTTGTGAAATGCAAATGCTGTAGTTTGTCAGGTATTTATATATATATATATATCTTAACTGTTGCTAAAGTCTGGAAATTACTGTTTTCCAGATTTATGTTATGTAAATACCCTTAGTAGTATGTTGGATATTGTTTAATGAGGAGCTCATACATTTTGTTCCCAAATCCTAATATATATAATATATTAGTACCTAACATATGTGATCTGACCCTAATTTTTGTTCTCTTTGGACGAGCAGCCTGTCAGCCACAGCAGCTCAAGGCAGAGGAAACACGTGCTGTGATGTGAATGAAACAAGGAGCTCTGGATGCAGTCGAACAATCTGTATAGAGAAAATGCACTGGGAGAGGAGAGAGCTGGGGAGGGCTGGAGAAGCAGAGTACCTGGCCCAGGGTGCCTGAAGGCAGGGGCAGGAACCTTCAGGTTCCATCTCTTCCCTCTCGCTTTCCTCAGTGGGAGGAAAGCAGATTTATTCCCTTGTCCTAGCAAGTTTAGCTGTCCTGTGAAGCCTGGAGAGACTTGAGCTACTGATGGCAGATCCTCAGTGTCATCATGCAAGTCTTTGATGACGATTTAAATGTCAAAATCGGGTTCTGAAGTTGTGGTCTGAATTTGAAATAATCCAATGGGATATGTGCTGTGGCTTGTCATGTTTTGATGTGCCCTCTGATTTATTTGCTTGCCTGATCTGAAGGTTTCTGTAGATGCAGCCTCAGAGAAGGAGGCAGCTCTCAGCCAGCTGTCAGCCTTGATGTGGGTAGAGTCACCATATTCTCGCTGTTATTTGGCCAAAACATCATCTGTAATTGCAGGATGTGCTGTTGGCCCTGGTCCAGCCTGTGGGTGATGCTCATCCACACTGGTGCTGCCTGTGTTCCATCCAGCTGTGGGAGTGCTTGTGGCTGGCCCTTGCTCTGATTTACAGTGGGGTTCCGGTGCACTACAGGCCATTGCAGTTGTTCAGCTAATCCTTCAGGTTGCACAAAGCTGGGAAACATTTGTGGAGGCAAAAACTGTGTACAGCTCTTGTCTGGGTAATACCTGCAGCGAGTAACCCAGAACGAGGTCCTGTTGAAACAGGTTAACAGTAAATACCACTTTTTTTTTTTCCTTTTGCAACATAGAAGCAGACAGAAAAACTGAGAACAAACAAGCAAAACTGGGATTCATCCTGTCCTGCTGTGGAGTTTTCCTACTGGTGATGCTTGGGTGCCCTTGGGGTGTTTGAAAGGAGAGGCTGGAAGGTGCCATGGAGCCTTGCAGATGCTCCATACCTAATTCTGAGGGGCTGCATGGGCTTGGGAGTGGAAGCTGTATGTACCTTCTGAGCTTCCAGACTGGTGGCTTGGTGAGTAAGTCATGGAGCTTGAACAAAGGACACCAGAGAAGGACTGGCCCCTGAACCGATGGTTTCTGTGCCCTTGGATCCTTTGGGGTGAGGGTCGGGTGGATGCTGCTCTGATCTGGGCTCCTGGCACACCGTGTCCTTTGCAGAGGCTCTGAGCTGATGGAGACACTGTCTGCTTTGCAGCTTCTCAAAATCCCTTTGATCCCGGCAAATGCTGCCGCAGGGAAAGATTAGTTTGAGGGAGCAGAGCATAGTCTTGTCTGGGTCGAACGTCCAGACATCTCGAAGTGTAAGAGACTGGACTTCACGGGTTAATGACTCATAGCATTCCTCAGTTGTGAAGGCACCGAGGTGCTTTGCTGGAATCATAGGTTATGAGTGAGGAGGTAACAGAGAAACCTTTTGGCAGGATGCAGCGTCATGTCAGGGGGAAGGTCTGATGGGGTATTTCTGGCAGCTGTCATGTCCTTCGGTGTCAAGCCATCAGGGTCTCCCAATATGCCCCCAGACTCATTTCTGAGGCTTTTCACTAGAAGACTGAAATCTCTCCAGATGAGGGGAATGCTGGGCATTCCTGGCCTGAGTGTACTTTAACCCAGGGGCTTCTTTACCCCCACCCTGACAGATCACTTGGACCAAAGGACAGCTAAGCTGCAACAGTCAAGACTCATCAAAGGCCGACTGGGTGGTGAGATTTTCACATTCTTACCTTCCTCCTTCTCTCCCTCCCTCCTTTTTCTCTCTCTTTTCTCTTATACGTGTCCTTGGGTGATATTTTTGTAGTTTCATGTTGTTGGAAATGATGTAACTTTTAAAATTTTTGAAGTAACTTTAGTCATGTATGCCTTTGCCAAAGGGGAAAGAGGGGATGGCGGGGGAGGGTGGAATTAAGATTTCTCTTCAAAAGACTATTCACCCAGGGTTTGAACTTCACTAGGTGAGGCCTGAGGGGCTTCAACAACAAAAATCAACATCTACAGGTTGGGAGTAGCAAGAAGATAGAGATAAATGGACATTAACAAATCTGCCCTTGTTAGGCTGGCGTCATCTGGTCTGGAGAAAGATAGATTGATAAGAGAACCAAAGAATGAGGACCAAATTAGCATCAAAGATGAATCCAGTAGGAGAAGGAGTACTGAGAACTGTATAATGTAGAACCAATGAATGAGAATTTCTTTGGGTTTTAAATGTATAAATGTGTGAGAAGTCTGGCAAAGAACTAGGTGAGCTGGAAAGATTTCTACTGCACATCCTGTCTGGAATAAAGTAATGGCTGATTCTGTAACACTTGGAAGATGGTATTGGAGAGTTTCTTTTATTCCTGCAGCTTTGGTGACAATTTTGCAGTACTTTCATACTGTTATATTACTATAGATAATCAAAACAGCTAGGTACCTGCTTTCCTTTGCAACCAACTTGTTCATAAATAAAACCTATGTACTTGTATTTATACACATTGAGCATTTCAGTATCGTTCAGTATTTAATCTAATCCACCTCAAGGGATCTATGAGCAGGAATCGGGGTGTTTGTCACAGGAAGCCCTTGTCACTCCAGAGGAGGTGGTAACATGGCTCTTGGGGCTGTCTGTGCTGCCCGGGGTGTGGCTGATCTGCCCAAAGTGGCCATGAGTCACAATCGCAAGACCCCCCCAAACACGGGGGAGCAGCTGGGAAAGCTCCTCTCCCTGTGAGGGTCCTGGTACTCAGAACACCACTGGGGCAGATCTGCTGTGTCTTCACAGCTGCCCACACTGGCTGGTGGGGTAGCTGGTGGGTCCTCCCCAGCCCCAGCACTTGTGGGTCTTGCTAGAGCTTGTTCTGTCCCTTCAGAACCTTCAGTGTCCCTGTCCTGGACTGTCTGCGACAGTAGCCCCATGGCCAGCACTCTTGCTCTGTTCTCCTGTGGCTGGTGGACCACTGCTACTCTGGGGAGCTGTTGGACCCATTCTGTGCTTCAGCCACTTGTTAAAATCTGCTTCCTGACTGTGGTGTTCAGAGGCTGCAGCATTCAGCCTTGGGAATGGTTGGGAGTGGGCCTGGCAGTGCCCTGGGAAGACTTTTGCCAGCGTGTGCTGAGACAAGGAGATTTTCGGGACAGGAAAGATGGAGGGCTCAGAGGCTGCTGGCGATGGGGAAGGATTTGAACAGCCTTTATAATAACATTTTACCTGGGTCCAGGTTACAAATGCCAGAGCAGCAGTTCCTTGACTGTGGTCCTTTGTGTAAATGTATCCAACAACCTGGGTGTAGGTTGGTGATGGAGGAAGGAACTCAAGAGCCACATTGGTTCACACAACGTGGGTCAATAGCAAAAATAAAGGATGCAAAACAACTCTGAGTTACCTTGAGGCCCCAAGCATGACAACAGCAGGACAAGGCCTGGGACAGACTCCAGCCTGTCCTGTGCTGAGGCCATCTGGGCTGGAGGCTGGAGCTGAGCAGATCTATACAACTCTAGGCGGAAAAGGAAATGAGAAAGTGATGGTAGGTTGCAAGATTGAGCTCATCAGACAGGAAAATGAGGAAGGGATTGGAGCATGTCCAAACAGGAGACCTGCAGCTTCTGGGTTTGGGGGAAGTCTTGCTGCACTGTCCTCAGGGTGCAGAGAGGGAAGGAAGAGAGAGGTGGTGTCAGGCAGCAAAATTGCTTCTGCACTGCCTCTGGCTGCAGAGGAAGCTCCAGCTTTGCTGATTAGGGCCTGTTGAAAGCAGAGGCTCAGAAGTGAGACTGCTCTGTGGCCTTTCTGCTGCTGTTCAGGCCCCTCAGCCCTGCAGTGTTGCTGGGATCAGGGCTGTACATGAGTATTTGCAGTCTACTTCTCTGAATAATGTATTCCTGGCATAGACCTTTTTCTTTCCCCTTTGTTCCTAGAACAGCAGTTGTGCATGTTAAATTACACACTTAAACCTATTGGGCTCATGAATTTGCCCAAAGAGAGTTGGTTGAGGACCAGCATTGGCCCGTGGCTGGCTGCCTGCTCACTCCAGATGGGGCCAAGGGTGATGGCAAGAGCAAATTCCCCCAGCTTGTAGCAGTGAAATCGGCCCCATGGACAAGTCGCAATATGTTCAAGCCTCAGCTATGAACAAGGTGCATTTTAATTGAGACACTACCAGATGGTTATTGCTGCATGTCCAGCAGGATCCTGTTTCATGGAACTTAGAATCCATGTGTTAAAAGGTTTAAAATCAGCTGCTTTGGGCATAGTCAGGGGCTGTTTCCTCCCTGGCTGCTGGTCTCTGCAAGCAGAGCGGTGAATTATGGGGGTGAGGGCACTCTGAGAGTCCATGGCTGCTGCTCGAAGGCCTGCACAGACACCCACGCCCCTAAAACAGTTTGCTTGAACTTGAGAGGTCTGATGGGGTTGGGCTGTTCCTTCACCTGGGCCAGGATTTGGTTTATTGAACATTCCCATCCTCTCTCTGCTGCTGTGGAAGTACAGATGTCAGGGGCCCCATTGCAGCCTGTGGGGCAGGCAGGGCTCCTTCTCTGTGCAGCTCTGAGGCTCAGGGTGCTCATGCATCCTGTCCCAAGTGTCCAGTGAGGGAAGGACAGGCCCTCAGCTGCCTCCCCCAGCATCGCTGCCTGCCTGCCCCTGCTTTGGTCTTGGCTGTCCAATGTGACTGTGACAAGTGACTGTGGCTGAAAGCTGGAGAAGGTTGAGCTGGGGGATGGGTGTCCACCACAGAGCTGTGGCCAAGTGGGGCCCTGTCCTCAGCTGTTCTTCACCACCTTTCCTTTGGGGTCTGGCTTGAGGTGTCAGTCTCTGAGAAGATCAGGTAAGAGCTGATGGCTTCCCTCAGGTCCCAGCTGATGGAGAGTCCTGCAGTGGGAATGTGGTCTCCAAGAACAGGAGGGAGATGCTTGAGAGCAAATGGGGCAGGCAACAGGCAGCCCACAGCCCCTGCAGGGTCAGGTGGGGGAGCCCCAGCCCCTGTCCCAGCTGCCCCCACCTCAGTCTTGTCCCAGTGGAACAATGGCTTCTTGACTACAAGTGAGTACTGTGGAGGCTGGGGCCACCCTTGGTCCTCCCATGGAGCAGGGCTAGATGAGGGGGCAGCAGAGCCCCTCACTGAGCTCTGGGCAGGGAGACAACAGCATCAATAGGGTGCACCCCCTGCCCCAACAACCTGGGCACAACTTGGGCAGGGGGAGACCCGCTGCCACCTTTTCCCCCTCCTCCTTTCAGGGCATGGGATATTTCCCCACACACTGCTCAGGATGCCAGGGTCTGGTGGGGCATTACCAGAGCACCAAAGCAGTGCAGGCTGAGCCAGATGAGCTGGGCTCGATGTAAAATCATCCCTTGTCCAGCGCTGGATCTGGCAGCGAATCAGTCACTGAGCCCAGGCAGGGCACTGACAGGAAACAGCAGCCTGGCAGGCTCTGGGCAAAGGGCACTTGGCTGGGCTGTCCCAAGCCCCTGTCCTGCTCAGCCCCGCTGCCTGATGCACTCTTACACACTGAGAGATTCACAACCATCCTACAGCAGCAGCAGGCATCACCTTTCTCCCACGGGCTTTATGGCTGCAAGCACCCCTGTGCCAGCCCCGTGCCATGAGCACCTTCAGAGCAATGTAAGTGACAGGGAATGGCTGGGACATCAGGTGGCATTGATGTCACCAGCCTTCTGCACAGCAGCACCTGGAACGTTCTCCTCACAGGATCCCCTTGGTGTGATGGGGCCCTGTTTCTTTTTGCAGGCTGAATCTTTTCACTTTCTGTGAAACCCAAAGCTGCAGGAAACTGATGGTGCTCTGCTCTTTTTAGGCCCCATGGCAGGGGCTCAGCAGGGAGTGGGGAGCAGCAGGAAGCAGCCCTGTAGGCAAGGCCATTGCCACTAGATGTGAGCAAGGGAAGATTGCTCCCTTTCACCCCTTGGCACTTCACTGGGTAGGACTGGGACAGTAATGGAGTTGGTCTGAGGGCTTTCACCTTGCCTGGTCTGGCTCTCCCATATCAGGAAGGATCCAGTGTGGTTGCCTGGATAGAGCAGCAGCTCCTCCACCTTCTGCTGGCTGACGCCCTCGTGCACACAGCAGGCAATGGCAGAGCCTCTCCTGGCTGCCAGGGACACCCAGCATCCTGGGGTCCATCCTGCCCCAACTGGGGCATGTCCTGGGGACACTCCAGCATGCCATGCCATCTCCCCTAGCCCCAGCACTGCTCAGGGCAGGACACCCTGGAGCAGTGTCCAGAATCTGGCCGCAGGGCTGGCCATGTTCTGTGGTGGAGCCATGTTCCCCAGGGCCCTCCTTTGGACAGATTCTTCTCAGCATTTACCTGTGCCTGATCTTGGCCACACAGCTGCTGTGGATGTGGCACTCCTTGCCAGAAACCTCGATGCCACCAGCCACCACTTGCCATCCCCGTGGGGAAGAGAGATGAGCCATCCTGAGGGGCTGAGGATGCAGGATGGGGGAAAGACACAAATCACACAGAGTGTGTGGGAGCTCCCCAGGACATGGCATCTGCAGCCTTGTGGTGGAGAGCCCCCAGCCAGGCTGACTCCCTGAGTGCTGCCATCCCAGCCCAGCCCCCCGTCCCCCAGAATATGGGACACCCATCCCAACCTGCTGGTCCCCATGGAGATTGAGCAGCTGCAGGAACGCCTCTTTCAGTTCCTTGACCATGGAGAGCTGCCACCAGAGCTGTGTGTGACCCAGAACTGTCCCAGGCAGAGCCCCTCTCCTCCCCTGCCCCAACCCCTTCCTGCCTCCAGGATAAGTGAACTCTGCTTACCCGCCTCTCAGCGCTCTCACACCCAGGCAGCCATTGGCCAGCTCTGCCCTCCCTGCATGGAGGGGCCTCAGGGCACCCAGGGTGACAATCTCTGCCCTTGCCAGACCCTCTTGGTTTGCCCTTGGCCCCACTCACTTTAGGGCTGGGTGTTCATGTTCAGGTCCTGCTACTGTGAAGTGCTGCAAGGTGCTGGGGCTGCAGGTGCTGCTGTTCCTGTGAGGTGCCCACACTAGACAGGGCTTCTCCTTTTCACTCAGGGCCCCTCAGGGCTCTGGCTATGGGTACCAGGCCCAGCAAAATCCCTGAGGGCCCTCAAGGCACAGTGGGCATGGCATGGAAATTATGGGTGGACAAGTGGGATGGATGGGTAGCACTTGTGAGTGGGGAGCAGGGGTGATAGGACTCATAGGTTGAGGCTGGACAGATAGCATGCCCAGGGTGGTCTCAGTGAAGGAGGAGTGCCTCTTCAGTTGTAGCAGCACCAAGGCCCTCAGCAGGTGCACGATGCTGGATGTGATGGGCAGGGGTAGAGAGGTGTGATGCTCACAGACCTGCCCCAGTGCTGCACCCAACACTACCCCATACTAGCACAGCCCCACACCAGCACTGCCCAGCCTGTCCATACCTGGCCTGGGTTATGAGTGGGAGCAGCCCCATCTATGTTCCATCTCCATCCTCAGCTCTATCCAGGCTCAGCAGCTA